GTGTGTGTGTGTGTGTGTGTGTGTGTGTGTGAGATAGCAATTAACAGACTGGCGGCTCGACACACACTCTCTCTCTCTCTCTTGCTGGACACAACCATCTGTGTTGCCAAACTCTTCATTGGTGATTTGAATTTTCAAAAAGTTGTGATAGTGCGTAAGTTTAACTACATGTAATTTAATCTTCGACTAAAGACCCAAGTTGATGGCAAAATTCGGCTGCTGTGAAGGGTCATAAATAAACTGAGTCCACAACTTGACTACTTCACCTATCATCAAATATATGTATATAAATAGATATAGACTACATATACTTTTACTTTGGACTTTGCATATTAAATATATTAATTTGAATGAGTACGTTAAAACAATCAAATATGGACACCTTTTGTGTTAGTTGGCAACAGAAAACTGGAACGGTAATAAATAAGACATTTTAGTAAATAAAATATAGAATAATAAATCATATACAACAGCAGTGGTTTGTATTTATATTGATCCTGTTAGTTAAATATAGACTAAGATATTTAAATATGAATAAAAACAATAACACATTAGTAAAACTTTTTAACTCTGACAGCAGTTTCTCTGAACCCAAGTTAATTCTACCACCATAGATAAATCAATAAAAACGTCTAGTTCACGTAAAATGAATACTTATAACATTTACAATCTTTTCTTTTGGCACTGCCATCATACATTTTGTGAGGATATTATGAAAATACTAAATATACATCCAATTATATGACTCGCCACACCAGCAAAATGTATAAGAAAAATATGAATCATTTTGATTAATCTTCAAGTTCTCTTAAACACATATTCAAACTTCAGTCTGAAAGCTCAGGTAGATTATTTTCAAAAAGAAATAAAAGGATGACAATTGTCTATGTTTCAGCTATAAACTACATCAAGTTAAGTGTGGATTTCCCTGCTGTATTAGTATTTTTTTGCATGGTAGACATGAACATTTTGATTGCGTCACCTAAAAGGAAGCTACAACACGTGGCACCTAGACTGGACTACTAAGAATAAACTGAAGTCTATGTTAACATGTACATTGTAATACTATAAATAAACAGAACTTCAGTTTCATAACCTGAACAAAGCTTTCCCTCTTCATTAAATATAGAAACGACATATCAAAATTTCAAAGGTAAAGTCGTAGCTTTTTATGCACGTTTTACGGAAAAGCTTTGAATGAAGAATGTTTACCTTATATATGTACATGTATGAATAGGAAATGAACAATACTGTGTAAAGGTTGTTATCTCATTTATGTAAACTTGAAATCTGAGATTATTTACGATATTATGCTTTGAATGTTAGACATCTTTAACACACCGACTTGGCCCATCCCCCATCCCGTACACATGTCGTGTGAGCCGCATTACAAATATACAAATAACCATTTGTGGCAAAACTGACAATACATAAATTTCTATAACATTTCTCCCCATGATTTGTGTCTGTTCTCTGTTCTACAATGGAAAAAAAAATAAACACCCCTAAACTCTATCCCTCTAAATGGCCGTTTCCTTCATGCCTCGAAAGTCCGGAGCGCCTCGGGCTCCTTTGGCACTCTTCAACGGCCTCAGTTCTCGCTGACTCTCCGGCGGATTCACTGGCGACTGTAACTTCAGCTCCGAGCGTAAGTCTTTCAGTTCCGACCGGATTTCGTCAAATGGTGCTGGTGCCGGGGAAGGGGCCCGAGCTGGCCACTTGGGGGGTCGGATGTCTGCCCCTGATGGCATCAGGCGGGGGTCTAAGATCTCTGACCTCGTGTGGAGGTGCTGTGGGGGGCGGTGAGGGTCTGGACTGTTACCCAGGTGGGGGAGAGGTTTCCCCAGGGGATGGAGCCTGGGACCCTGGGGACATAAAAAATACAGACATACGTTAATATTTATCTATTAATATACAAAACAGTCACATACATCAGTGGCTTTTACGTCCACGCCCAGAAGGTTTTCAGTTATGAGGATACGTCAGTATGTTCAAGCATTCCTTTTGCAATGAAATATTTATGGGAACAGATGATGCATGCAAACTTCAAATCTTCACACCAATCTATTCCACCGCATGGAAGCATTCATGAATACAAATGTGTCTGTTACACAGCACGCCCTCTGCACATTACAAAAAGGGCAAAATCGTCAAAGCAGAAATGAAGCATCAACAAAATATAGCTCCATGCACAGGCACAATACACACTTCAATGGAATTGCATCTAAAATTGCAATATATCTCCTCACAGGTCACACAGAAGCATGTTAAAATAACAAGCAGATCATTTTAGCTGTCTTGAGAACAGAAGGAATTTTTTTCTGAAAAAAAAAAAAAAAAAGAAAAGAAGTAATGCACTCCAGCCAGAGTACCTCTGTGTCTGCCCATGCTATAAACTCTCCAGTCTTGAATAGGAACAAATGATACAAATATATCGGGAGTCTTTGATGTATACCACTCTACTTGTTCATCTGTATGTAATTTGTACCTACATATACTGAGTACCTGACTGTACAGCAAAGATAAAGGGACACCAATCAACGGGCAAAAACATTTTTAATAGCAGATCTTCAAAAAAAAAAAAAAAATTAATTTGGACAAAAAACCAACTTTCATTATTATTACTTTTATTATTAATTTTCAAGATTTATACAGATGCTCTGTTGTTTTGAGGCTGCTGCTACTGCTACAACTGCTACTACTACTACTACTACTACTACAACTGCTACTACTACTACTACTAGTTCTATTACTTCTAATACTATAATTCAAGTTTATGAAATACTACCACTATACTATCACTACTTTATAGTACTACTACTACTCTATTACTACTATTACTACTACTACTACTACTTTTGCTGCTTGTGAACATTCACCTTTTCCACAGGGGTTTGAGTCAGTTTCCTGAGTGCTGCTGGTTGCTTTGTGTACTGAGGAGGGTCTTTGTAAGGTGGGGGAGCGTCTCTTGGAGTCACTGGCTGTGAGTGGAGACCAGGGACCCCTGCCTCTCTATGGGAAGCCCCCACTGGTTGGGGGGTCTCACTATACTGATGCCTGGGGTCCAGCACTGTGGGGGAGTCCATCTGAGATGTGCTGTTGGACAGCAGCATCTGGAAGAGGTGTGCAGACAATTATCAAGATGCTGATTTTCACTTGTGCACAGTGCTTTGTTGAATGGACGTTTTTACAATTTCTTGAAACAATTTTCTCTTATTTTTGTAACACCAGAATAAACAACCAAGATAGTGTCCTAAAGACATTGAAATATAAATCATTCAGTATAATATACACACTATCAGATATGCGCTGTATCAGGACATAATGTATATTATTTCAATGCCTAAACTTACATTGAATCCTTTCCTCTTCTTTTTCTTCTTTGACCAGGAATGCTGCCACTCATTGGAGCCCGTGTCACTGGTTTTCCTGGCACAGAAAATTTATACAGTAAATATAAACAGTTTCATGAAGTACACATTTTATTTACGGATAATGAATAATCATAATGAATGAAAAAAAAAAGCAACGAATATAAAGAAGAGAAATATTATGCAAAATTTAAAACTTTTATATCGCTTTTCATTATACATGTGGCTATATTTCAGGAAATTTAAATGTTAAAATGCACACATCTTAGCAAATGAGTAGTGTCATATAAGTATTAGAAGTGGTTTTATCCATCTACTTTTATCTTTTTACATAAGGTAAATAGCACATAATTATAATAAAGTAATTCCCCCTTTTTAATACTTAGAGAGCCAAAAAATGTAAAACCATTTTTGTGCCCAATAAACCACCTGAGATAGTAAAAGAGAGAGAATCAATTGCTCACCAATTATCTTGTACAGGTCTTCCACCAAAGTGACCACTGTCCTGAGCCTTCTTCCTGGACATTGAGGGGCTGTCCTGGAGTCCTGGAGATTCTCGGTAAACACTGGGATCTAGAGGAAACACCAAGAAATAAATTATTTCTATGAAAATTGTACAATTTACATGTATGCATAATATATAATGCTGTTGGATGTAGATGCATGCATGAGGCATACATTCCATTTCAAATTGGTTGTAGATCTTATTTAAGAGTATACGTACATACATGTACACATAGTAATAGGACTACATGTATGTGTGCTAATTTATGCTGCCTCAAGTACAGCACATGTTAAAGATGCTGAAAGTGGGAGTTTAAAATATTAATTTCATTAATAAAAAAACTTATATTCATTTTTATCACTGAAAATTCTAATCATGTTATAAAAATCACCAATGTATAATTTTTTATGCATAAATAGCTAACACAAAGATACAATTATAATCAGTTTAAAAATGAATATTTAAAAATCAGTAACAACTCCACTTAAAGCCTTCAATAACAAATAAATGAATGGTGGTTACATTGATTTTAAATCAAACTTAACTTTAACAGCATGATGTCGCAATAAAATCTTCAGTTAGAGTTAGCTGCAGTGGTTATATAACATAACAATGAGATTAATAAGCAACTGTTTTCTTTTTTTTTTCTTTTTAAACAGAAATACTTTTTTATCAGTTAATTAACAACAACATGATCTTTTTCTATATCATTCTTCATATGCAAGACAGCTACTTCAATCTCTTCATGCTATACTTTTTCAGTGTTTCAAAAATTTAACAGCCAATTGCAAATTTGCTGCAAGCATTATTAAAAACCAAAATGAAAGGAAATACTGCAGATTTCCATATATAAGGTTAGTATGAGCTGATGCTGCAGACATAAAGCCAGTTAGAATATAGAGATGTATGTTGAACTAATACCTTGTGCAGTTGTCACTTCATTTTTGACAAGCAAAGGATCTGCATTATAAAAATAAAGTACTCCATCAAAATAATGCATTTCAATTTTTTTAATCATTGGCATTAAGACAATATCTTTCATCACAACGTGGCATACTATGACACAGAAAATAATACATCAAGAGGGTTCAGAAGTAAGAAATATAATTCACCGCTCTTTCATATTCACTCACACTCTCTTAGACCCAGAACATTTGTTGTGAACAGATCTTCACTGGATGACATATCTGACATCATTTGACCCAAAGGATAAAAACTACCACCACATGTGGCATAAACAGTAGAAAACAGGGGCAGATTCAGGGCATCTTCTGGGTCTTCTGGAAGATGGTCACACTTTCAAGTTTACAATGACGGGTACATAATTTTTTGTCGGAAGACGGTCAAAAATGAAGAACGAATTAACAAATATAATTTGGAAGACTGTCAGAAAATATCTCCAAATCCGCCCCTGGAGAAAGCAGAGTCAGTGGTGTATTTCTGTCACAACAACTATTCATGATCTAAGAAAAAGGGTTTTGAGTGTGCGTGTATAGGCATAGTCAAACATATCTCATGGTTGTATTTTTATATGTACTTACCAAAATAGTGACTTTTGGCCCTCCTCTCCCTGGGGACTGGTCCTCCTTTGTCCTTGACCTTCTGACCATATGGAGACTGGTCAAAGGCATTCTGCAGCTGAAATGGGCAAATTAAAAAAAATCTTATTTTTCAAAACAGTTTTCAATATATATATATATATATAAACTAAAATATTAAAAAAATATATTACAGAAAGGTTAACATTTCAACCATCTGAATATTTTTATGTTTACCCAATATCTTGAATCATACCACTTCCAGTCTCCCCAGCAGAAGCATGCAGTTATTTCATAATTCAACAATAATTATTTGATATGTTTGGGAGAAATGCTATATTGCAAAATATCACAGAACAATTTAAGATGGCAAAATTTCAGGCCTTATTCAAAATGGTACTTGTCCCCTACTTAAGTAACAAACTTTTTTCACTGCCTTGAGTTCCTCCTTTAAATAACCATGATTCCAATCCATATAAAAGACATTAAGAGTGCATTCCCATAGATTTAGATCAATCCATCTAGATCGATCTAACTCCCTGGGGGTTCACGCTAAATTGATGTCAGCCGAGCGCCCACGGTAGTTAATTACTCCCTTACAGCTTTTAGTAGGCGGGACAGATGCTTAAGCCGGCTAAGCTGACAGTAATCTAGTGAGACTCCCCACAGGGATAGGTCAATCTAAAATCTGTGGGAATGGGGTCTAAGTCTCACCCTAGTTTCTGACAGTCTCTCCATTAGAGTCTTGACAGGTGCAGACCCTTCCCTGGTCTTCTTCTTCCCCAGGGTGCTGGCACGGATCCTCTGGAGTTCTCCCTCCCGTGCATTGCCTTGATGCTAAAGTACATACATAAATATCACATACACATCTTGAAATAACCCAGTTTGGTGTCTGTTATACAGAGGCACATGTACAATGTAATTGTTGGTTAAAAGAATTTGGTGGGATCAAAAACCGATTAGGGGCTTCTCATATCTAAATCTTTGAGGAGAGGAAAATTTAAGAACAGCACAGAGCATACTTACATGCTTTTAAAAGAAAAGTAAATACAAATTCCAACTATGCAAGTTTAAAATGTTTTATGGACAGAGGTATGAGTACCCCCCTACATGTAGCTGTTGTCTAAAAGAATTTGGTGGGATGCAAAACTGGAAAGGACTTCACATAATCTCATCCTCTAAGAGAATGAAAATTTAAGAACAGCACACATAAACAATTTTAAAAAAGTATTTAAAAATATTAATTCCACCTACGCAAATATAGAATGTTTTTAAAAAGCAGTCAAGCAGTGCTTCATACTATACCTTGTTCCTCCTCTCTGTCTGAGGACTGTTCTGGACCCCATGTGTCCCCACACTGAAACTGACCGTGTACGTATTGGTCTTGCTGCCCCCAGACCCATACTGGACACCAGACTGACCCTCATCTCGGCCAGATGACCAGTGGCCTTCTGTCCTTGCAGGGGCCAGAGAGAGGGTGTCACTCCTTGGTGACAAGTCCGTGAGAGTGAGATCGCCTACACCAGCCTGCGAGCTGGCAAATTTCGAATCCTGCTTTTTAAAGCTCCTGTAAGAATCATGATTATTTTGTCTGTTTTCTTTATCCTCAGTTCTGAGCCTTGAGTCAGATTCATTATTATTTTCACTTGCAGGGTGATATCCTGAGCTGGTCTCAGTATTATTGTACATGTGTTCACTGATCCAGGACCTGGCCCTCAGCTCATTGGCGTACTGCTGTTCTTCCATTACAGAACTCTGATCAGCCGCCATCTTGGATCTATCTTCAGGCGGCAATCTGCCAGGATTTGTGTGTTTTACGCCTTGAACCTTGGAGTCCATTGACCGTCCACCCTGCCCCTTGTCCTGCATGGCATTCCCCATGCTGCGGAAGTCAGAGAAAGTGCTCCCAAAGTGTCTGGGCTCAGAGCCAGGGGCTGGCAGAGTCCTGTGCTCTGTGTATGTCTCCTGCGTCACCAGGCGGGTCAAACCCCCTGCGGCAGGGTACTGAAGTCTTTCCTGAGAATTCCTCCTTTTCACAATTTTCTGATTTGGCAAGTTCTGCAACCCAGCACCAGCTCCAGCCACAGGCCCCTCTTTATTATCCTTTCTGTTTTTCTCCCCCCTCGTCCCTTCCTCATTCTCTACAGTCTTCTGCCCATGCGCCTGCTGTGACTGTTGCTGCTGTTGCACTGTATGTCCCTCTGTATAGTTATACTGAACATCCTGTCTCTTTCTTTGACCCCCTCCATCCACGTCTTGTGTCCTCCAATCAGCATGTCCTTGTGAGCCTCCGTCCCTCTGACCACTAGCCTCTGTGCTAGAGGCTCCAAGACTGGAGTCTCGTATATTGAAATGAATGCTGTCTTGTTTCTTCACTGGGGGGTGTTGCTTGACATACTGTTGTTGTTGACTGTGAATTGTCTTCTCGGTATGCTGCTGATGAGGTTTCAGTGCATCAGAATCACTGTCCTTCAGAGGAGGAGGAGAAGGGGAAGCTGGAGGGGGTGACGGAGTCCTGTCCTCCTGATTTCTTTCATGTGGATCACTATGAGAGCACTCCATCGGCCCGTCGTCGCCTTGACTGTTCTCTTGGTTCAGTCTCTGATTGATTTCGTTCTTCCTTGCCTTCACCATATCAGTGTCAGCTTTACTGTCATTGTAATCATCCTGCTGATGCTGATGCTGGTGCTGGTGATGCTGATGGGGGTCTGATTTCTGCTGTGCAGTTTTCATGTATTTTTTATAAGTCTCGCTGTGGCCGCCATCTCCAGGCAGAGCAATGGTTGGAGTGGCGTTCCTCTGCTCCGTGGAAGATTGCTGTGTTGTATTGTCACCAAGCTGTAGATGTATCGACTGTTGTTGTTGTTGTTGTTGTTGTTGTTGTGATTCCTGTTTGTTGTTGTTTATTGTCACTGTGGGTGGTCTCTGATGCTGTTGTAATTGCTGCTGATACTGTTGACTTATGATGTTTGGCTGACTTTCACTTTCAATTCTGAAATAATAATCAGGTAAATAATTTTCACTGAAATAGTACAATATTTGCACAGACTATAAAACTTATCAAAAGTTTTCATATTTTAAATATAACAAACAATTACATAGTGTGAATCACATTTATCCAAATAATTAGGTAATGTTGCTAAGGGTCAATTTATAATCCATATAAAAATATTATTTCTGTTGTACATCTGCATCAGACATATATTCTCTTTTTTGACATATATTTCTTTTCCAGCATTCTATAAGTAACTCATGTATCTAAACACTCCAAAATTAAGAAGACAAAGAGTCACAGAACAGCACCTTTCAGAAGCTTCACTCTTCCTCTTCTTGTTGGAAGGGTGCCTGCCGTCAGCCATCTTGACTGGTGCTCTGTTCCTGTTGAGGAGATTCTCTGTCTGGAAGGCTGGGTGCTGAAGACTCTCTTGCACAGAGTACCTGTCGCCAGGATCCAGGCGCAGTGTGTGCTGGAAGAATATATAGTACATGGTTTATAAGAATTTAAAATATTAAGGTCTATTAGTTAGCTTACAATATTTTATATAAAGGAGAATATATGAACAACTTTAGCCCCCCCCCCTTTCAAAACTAAATAATACATCTATTATAGCTTAATGGTCTTGTACAATGAAATAATGTTTCATTAGAATTACATGGTAAATAAAATCTTTATGATTACCATATATTTCATTCTCATTGCTAAAATCTACTTGACATGCATTTTTTTTTTTCTAAATCTAAATATTTCCTTGTGTTTCATTTTTTCCTGATTAAATCAACATACTGTTCAAAGCAAATACTGGTTTTTACATATATGAACCAGTTTAGGGAGTAAAGGCAGAAAAAGTCCATGAGAAAAACTTAGCCTTGAATATCAAGGAAAAAAATCAAGATGCCATGTAACAATTTAAAATCAAAACAACCGTACAACGAGTCCAATAACAAGAAGTCACCATGTTGTGTCTCAAGAGCAGTGATTGAACAATATACAATATTATACTGAACTCTGTGATGTGGTGACATAACAGCATGCTTGGCCCCCAGACCTGGCACGCACAAATCTGAACATCTGGTCAGATGAGGACCTTCTTGGACCAGATATCTGACCAATTTACAGCCTCATCAGATGACCAGTTTACAGAAAATAATTGAATGCATAAATAAAATGCCTACAAGGCAACTAAATCACTGGCCATGTGAACACTGATATACTGGTGCAGTCTGATTCCTGTCAATAGCAGAATGTGACACATGACCTCAGCAAAGTGAAAATGAAACTGCTGCTTAATGTGTCATAATGCAGGCATACTTATCGTAATTATGAAGATTTAAAATCATGAGTATGTTGCCACAGCACCTGGAGTTTGTCAGATTCAAAGCAAAAAATAAAGAGACAATGGCTTGGTGAAAGGGAATATGAAACAGAAATTAAGTAAATGATTTAAAAAATATTTTCACAATATATGTGATAAAAAGACAAAACTCTGCAGTGAAGGGAATACAGAAGGCAGTGGTACATGTAGGATACATACATTCCTCAAACTAAAGTGACAGTCACATCACACACAGCTGTACATCAGGCCTGATCCAGGACATACTTTTAAGTTCCCCCCTCCCCCCCAAAAAAAAAAAAAAAAAAAAAAAAAAAAAAAAGTGGTACATTTAACCCCTGACCCTTCCCCAAGGGGAGAGAAGAGATTGTCCATCCCACAAAGGCATATTTCATGCACTCAGAACTAGGGCCATTATGGTGGGGATAGGTTGGGGTAGGGTGGGGTTGGCTAACTGAGCTCCACAATTAATATCCCAGATCAGCCATCAACTATGCTCACACACAAACACACACACACATGTATACATAAAGATGAAATAGAAAGGATACTAACACCATCTTTAATAGCCAGAGGTTTAAGAAAAGTGTGTGCCAGGCACCACTGCACTGAGCACCTGTCACTGGGAAGGAGAGCCAGAGTGGACTTGAGAACAGAGGATTACTATACAGTTAGTATATATAATACCAGTACTTAGTGTAATGTATTCTAGAGCCAGAGTGGACTTGAGAACAGAGGAGTTCATAGTTAACAGTTAATAGTATTATTTCAAACCTATACCAATGTATTCTTAATATAGGAAATCTACTAGGATTGCTAGGATTACTATACCATTAGGGGTGAAAGAAAATTAAGTTCAACTAGTAAGCAAAACAAATGGAAGCCTTTTTTTTTGTAAAAATCACTACATATATGATAAAATAATTATATAAATGTCTACTAATTAAAGGCATGCACAGTAAACTTTGCTATTATTTGGGTAAGTTAAGCAAAGAATGGGCTATAAATCTGAGATACAAATTCCTAAAGACTATCCTGGTTATCTACTCTAGAGGACCTAGAAGATGTAAGCTCAAAACAGTTTTTTAGGTTTGCAGCCCTACACACTTACAGCATACAATAATTTCAATTAGCTTTAATGATAAAAATATTAGGTAAAGCAGCACTGGTGAAGTCAGTACCTTCATAAAGTCAATGAGAACTCCACTCAGAATGCCCTGATACCTCCTCTCCAGGGTCTGGGGGTGGGTCACGGAGGGAAACTGAAATAAGAAACAATTGTTAGTTAAAATAAATAAATAAATAATAAATAGCTTTGAGTGAACACTCAATATGCCAGAGTAAACTATGCATCTAGGAATCAAAATATGAAGCACTTGCATGGATATTGCAGTGATTACATCATATTCTATGCTAACAACAACAAAAAACTTCAAGTTATTAACTTAAATACTCGACATATTTTCAAGGAAACCACTCAAATGAAGTAACATTTTTAAGGAGAAATTCAAACTGATCTGCTTCAATACACACCACACCTACGCCCCCTGTATCACAGTTATTGTGAATAACTATAACTGTATATAACTATTAATATAACTATGTATAACTATAGAACTGTGCCTACCTTAAGCCCATTAAACCTGGGATTATTATAAAACATGTGCATCTGGTCATCAGGTAGAGGTCCCATCACTTTCTGGATCATGTACAGCTGGTCTATCTCACTCTCCCCGGGGAACAGGGGCTGTCCGTCACTCAGCTCCCCCAGGATACAGCCTATGGCCCAGATATCTACTGCTTTACCATATGGAGCACTGAGAGATATAATAAACAGAGTTGATTCAACAATTAAGACAATATTTTAGTAGAAAAAGACAATATTTAAGGAGAAGACAACATTTTAGAAGAAGAAGACAATATTTTGGAAGAAGAAGATAATCTTTTAGAGGAGGACAATCATTTAGAAGAAGGCAATATTTTAGGAGAAGACAATAATTTAGAAGAAGAAGACAGTATTTTAAAATAAGAAGAAGATAGTATTTTAGAAGATGAAGAAGCAGCCAGTCCTCACCCTAGCAGCAGCTCTGGAGACCTGTACCACCTGGTGGCCACGTAATCTGTATAGTTAGCTGTGCCATGACCATTCATGTTACGGGCAAAACCTGGGGAGGGAAAAAATAAACATAAATAGATATAAATTATAACTATATATAGATATAAATATTTTCAACATAAACAGTCACTGGCACCATCATTATGGAAAGACCCTAGGTCTGTCAGTTGAGTCCTCTGTCCTGGTGTTACAAATAAGTCTCATTCAGGACCAGCGTCTCTAACACAGCATGGATATTACACAGTGCTTTTTATTTATCAAAAGTCAAATATTGAAAGGTAACTCAAAACTCATTTTAAAATTTATAACTTTGTTCCCTGAGCAGCTCAGGATACTGTACACAACTTACCAAAATCACACAATTTCAGCCTATCATCTTTTCCAATTAAGAGGTTTTCTGGTTTGATATCTAGAAAGGAGAAAATAAAACTTGTAAATTTATTTTATGCATAATTTACATATTTTAAGTTTAGCATTAACATTGACAAACTGAGTCTTTTAGATCACACACACACACACACACACACACACATAAATGCACATACATTAGTGTGGCACCAGTGGATATAGCTTACCCCTGTGTATGATGTCATTAGTGTGGCACCAGTGGATATAACTTACCCCTGTGTATGATGTCATTAGTGTGGCACCAGTGGATATAACTTACCCCTGTGTATGATGTCATTAGTGTGGCACCAGTGGATATAACTTACCCCTGTGTATGATGTCATTAGTGTGGCACCAGTGGATATAACTTACCCCTGTGTATGATGTCATTAGTGTGGCACCAGTGGATATAACTTACCCCTGTGTATGATGTCATTAGTGTGGCACCAGTGGATATAACTTACCCCTGTGTATGATGTCATTAGTGTGGCACCAGTGGATATAACTTACCCCTGTGTATGATGTCATTAGTGTGGCACCAGTGGATATAACTTACCCCTGTGTATGATGTCATTAGTGTGGCACCAGTGGATATAACTTACCCCTGTGTATGATGTCATTAGTGTGGCACCAGTGGATATAACTTACCCCTGTGTATGATGTCATTAGTGTGGCACCAGTGGATATAACTTACCCCTGTGTATGATGTCATTAGTGTGGCACCAGTGGATATAACTTACCCCTGTGTATGATGTCATTAGTGTGGCACCAGTGGATATAACTTACCCCTGTGTATGATGTCATTAGTGTGGCACCAGTGGATATAACTTACCCCTGTGTATGATGTCATTAGTGTGGCACCAGTGGATATAACTTACCCCTGTGTATGATGTCATTAGTGTGGCACCAGTGGATATAACTTACCCCTGTGTATGATGTCATTAGTGTGGCACCAGTGGATATAACTTACCCCTGTGTATGATGTCATTAGTGTGGCACCAGTGGATATAACTTACCCCTGTGTATGATGTCATTAGTGTGGCACCAGTGGATATAACTTACCCCTGTGTATGATGTCATTAGTGTGGCACCAGTGGATAGCTTTACATAGCTGGTAGACATAGTGACGTGCCTTCTCTATGGGGACTCCATTTGGCATCTCTTCCAGGACCTCCAGCATGTTCTGAAATGATGGGAAATATGAAATTGTGATCTGCCATAACAAACACATGCACATAAAAACTGTAGATTTTTTACTTACTGCATAAAATGTACCATGTAATCTTGGTAACATGGAAGAGTGAACATCTTACAGAAAATAATTTAAAATAATAAGAAATAATTTATACAGTGGATTTCTTTCCTCTAAACATTTCTAATCTCTGAAAGATGATTTCCTTATTTTGAAAAAAGAGAGAAAAAAAACAAAGCTGATTTAGCATCAAGATAAACTTTCCAAAATTTCAGTCAAATTTCAGACTAACAACACTTACCCTTTCCACATATTCGAAGACTAGATAAAGCTTTCCTCTCCTCCTAAATGCCTCTCGCAGCTCCACAATATTCTCCTGTTTCAGCATGCGGAGGACCTTCAGCTCCCTCAGGGTGGTTCTTTTAACATCATCATTTTCTGGAGAAAAAAACATTGAAAAAATATTAAATATATACTTTCCCATAGAAATAGTGTGGTTAATAATAAAAAGAAAAAAAATGAAAAAAAAAAACTAATTAGGAAAGATCATTATGATTTAAATTAATCCCCTCCTTTCCAATTAAGTACCTGCTGCTGAATGTGATAAATCATAACAGTTGATGATTGATTAAAATCAGGAGAACACCGCTCCCTAGCTAATAACAACCATTGAACATTTCACTATTAGTTAATTGGGTATATCAAACACTGCACATATATTTGCTTCTCATGTATTATTAACTTGCAATTCAGGTGATTTCATGCATTGGCACAATTCATATATCAAACCATCCAACCCACTGACCCATGCTGAACTTTGCAGTGGACACAGATATATACATGCTTCAGTGAATCTTGTTTACAATAAAGGAATCAGTCACTGTGAAATATCTGAGATTATGAGTCCAATTATGAGATAATGAGTCCAGTTACATACTGAGGGAAGGGGACCTGGACTGTCTGTAGTGGAAGAGTTTGAATTTCCTAGTATTACTGGAGATGCTTTGTAAATCTTGACAGCATCCAACAGGATGTTTTTAGATGATTGACTTAATGAGCTATGATTATAATATCCTCTGCATTATCCTGTATTTCTGAAAAACAGGATGTCATTTCATTTTAACATGTAAGATACTTCTTTTCCATTCTTTACAGGAGGTTGGGTTTAAAAAAATGTTTTGAGGATATTTGTTGATCAAAAATCTGAAAATGGTAAGCATAGAGGTATCATTAAATCTACTTGGTGACATTTTCTTTATAAATCAACATCAAAAGGCAAAAACATACACAATAGGATCTACTTAAGTTATTTCTGTTCACAGAAATACAACAGTCCATATTCAAACAATAAATTCCATCCCATATTCCTTTTGATACACCATTTATCACCACAAAACACATTAACAAAATTCATAACAAGTTGGTTTAATGACAGCAGCACTTAACAGCGAGTTCAGTCCTCCTATATCTAATACATAAGCTGCAATAACATGCTTTTAGAGCTACTACAATTAACTAGCCTGTTGCTCCATTATAGACGGGAAGCTAGCTTATCACTTCCACATTGACACTACAATACACTCACGTCAGTGCCACAGGTAAACATTAGAGCAGGTGAAATTTTATATTGACATAAAAAATCAATACATTCTTTTTTGTGGTATCTGGAGAATTTGTAAGGTCGCCGTGGGAATGGACAGCATATAGTGCCTCAAACAAAGCTGTCCTCATGCTGGATTAGCTTTGGAAGTAACACTCCAGTGTGTTTTGTTGCCTGATGCATTATTTCAATCACTGATGATCTGCAAACACTTATACAGCATGTTATGTTTTAGCTGAAAATACGTGTTGCTAGGGAGGAGGAAGCACGACTTCAATGAGGCTCTTATATATCATGCACACATTCTTCAATCTTAGCTCTCTTAAGCAGTTATCTACAAGGTAAACTAGGTATAGAAGGGGATGCCCACATGATGGCAAGAAATATATAACACTTGAATAAAAATCAATGCATGCTTTTGTTTATTGTTTGGGAAAAAATCACACCTGCAAAACTTAGTGCAGTAGATTGACCTAAAATACATTTAAAAAAAATATCTGTTTATCCTTATTGTCAGTAAAATCCAAAGAAATTATAACTCAAAATAGAATCAAAATTGGATTAAAATATTTAGGCCATTTTTCAAATTGGGTCATCTCAAAGGGGATAAAAAGACTCACTTTTTTCATAAAAAGAACCCCCCTGAATTTGCTTGCTATAGGCCTGCTAACCTCTAACTTTTTAGCCAAAATGTACACATGTTAATACAGCACTCTCGCAGCCGGTTTCAATACAAGTATTCAAAGCATTTGTTGACAGTGTCTATTTTGGTGACACGTGTTACTATTTACCTGTGGCTCACGACTATTTTACATTGGGCAGCCACTAAGGAGTGAAAAAATGCTCTTGAAAGAGAGCTGTGTTGTACATAGATGAAACTTCACTTTAAAATAACAAAACTGAACTATAAACCATGTAACTTGTTTAATGCCATTGCCGTGTTCTGTCTCCAAGGGGCACATGCGTGTCATGACCATTCTTAATTGTCATTATCAGACCAATTGGTATTGACTTACAGTAGCAGAAAAAATTACTTTATAATAAACACATTTCAAATTTAATATTTTTCTTTCTTTTCAGTTATGCATAAAGGGATCATAACAATGCAACATTGCGTAACTGCTGCAAAATAATATTATTCTAATTGTGCACTTAATGAATTTTGCAATCTTTACCATACTGAATAATATTTAATATAATAATGTGCCTAAAAAACAAGAGATCAAACTATGATAAGCATGTAGCACAGTGCTCTGATGTTGAAACCTTGAAGGCAACCCCATTGTGGTACATATATATATATTGTGATGTTGGTGAGACACAAATATAAAATATTTGGCCAAAAATTCTTGACAAGACATGTGATAACAGAATAATCAACTTACCATCCTCTGATGTGTTTAAACAAAATGTAATTGTTAAGAGTGAGATGGGTTTTGTTCTCTCTAAAAGAAACATTTTAATCTAGGACTATAAAAAAAAAAGAGAGGTAAAAAACTCAGCATAGCTTAACTTCAATTTTATGAACAGCTGAAAATAGCAAATTACAATTTTCATTATGACCCTTCTGTCAGAATGGCTAAAAGAAAAAGGTTGATTATTTTTTTGATAAAAGTGAATTCCTTGTCTTGCACTGCAAAAATTCATTTCAATTCCTGCGTCATCAGTGAAGTCAATGAAGGGTAACTATACACCATCCTAAGCTAACAGTTGCATGACAACAGGCAACTACTTATGTTTGGGAAACTATGAATCCCGCAAAATCCTTATTGGAATGGCTCTCTGCCAAACTAACTGAATGTTGATACCAGAAATGTATCCCACTTAATGAATTAATTAGACTGCTTTGTGTTGCTAATTGAAGGCAATGACTGCAGTTAACAGCACACCTGTGGAAGACTTAACGTTCCGTATACGTAATGTTTAGTACATGTAGTTGGTCAGGAATACAACCATAAATAATGCTCACTAGTTATAAGTTTCTGGACGCAGTTACAGTTGCCAACTTAATATTACTTTACTATAAAATTTGTTAAAATGGGGAGAAGAATGGAGTTAATCTTTTCTTTGGACTTTTCCAAATCTTTTTAATGTCCTTATCTAAGTTTCTGTTTTCTTTTTTTTTTTATCAAAATAAATTTACATGCTTATTGTTAGTTTGATTATTAATTTATTTATTTATTTGAATTTGAATTCAAATCAAAGATGAAAGCTCGGTGATACCCACCCTCACTGTCCTTGAACTTCTTGATAGCCACCATCTCACCAGACTCCTGCAATGACAAAATCAAACAGAAATTCAATCAAATGAATTTGGCAAATTACACTGAATGTACTAAAAAGTGTATCTGTGCAACATTGACTCATAATGTTTGAATGTATGGTTAATTCATGAACTCACTCCAATGCCCAGTATTTATGGTAAATCACATGATATATATATATATATATATATATATATATATATATATATATATATATATATATATATATTAGCTATAGACACTGAGTGATTATGGGGAAATTATAAGACTTTTTTTTTTCTTTACAACTCACAAAATGAAAAAATGCAACACAAGATAATTATAAGAAAAATAGCATTTTTTCTTTCAGGATCAGTAAGAAACCTTGTTGGAATGTTACAGGAAAAGTTAAAATTATCTAAATAAGAAACATAAAAAATCATATCTTAAATGGGGTGTAATTTTTAGATGATGCCCTCTTCCTCTCTAGTTACCATGGAAATGGTTAGATTGCACAATTTTGTAAACCATTGAAATTACTGCTTTAATATAGTGATCAGCTATTCTTTGCAATGTTATACTTTGTCTTGTACTATATTTATTTACTTATTTTTTTCTCTCTCTCTCTCCTTGTTAATTACACAAGCATCATGATCATCCGGTGTGCCAAGCTACCAAGATTCTTGCTAATATATCAAAACTCTAACAAAGTTACACTGCTACAAACATGCAGGTTCTAAGAATGCTAATGAAGAGTTCTAACAGTGTGAAGTTTGTGGATTACAGTTAGCACACTTAAGACTTCTCTCTATAGCTTTTGTGCAAACACTATCTGGGTGTACACAAAGAGATTTGAACTAACCGCAAACAGCCTGGCTACTGAGGTAAATCATACATCAAACATCTTAACTCTAACCCGGCCAGCTATACGCATTGTAATATCAGGTATCCAAAACACAAGCATGAATTACGGGGAGCAAAGAAAGTTTACTTGCAGTATACAGGACCTGTCTTTTAAGGACAAAAAGCAGCAGAAATATTTCATTTGAAATTTTATTTCTGTTTTATATCCGAGCACAATGGCTCACAAAGAATGAGGTTTGAGTTGAGCATAAACACTGCTTTTACTGTGATTCAGAAGTAGTAGGTCAAACTTAAAGTTGTGTAAACAGCAAGTAGCAGAACAAAAAACTAATAGAAAGACTATTCTCTAGAGATGGAAGTGGCTGGCCTCAGCAAATTCAAACAAAATACCCATGTGGAAAAATCAATTTCAAATACACAAGGCTCGGTATAATTACTGAAAAGACCCAGAAACCCCTGATGTAATTTCACATTTTCTTTTAGCTTCATATTTAATTTTTATAATTATCCAACTGGGGGACCATGAATTTCCTTGCTAAAAGAAATTGGGTTTAAACACAGTTGGAATGTTACTGCTGCATATATTAAAACATTTTTTTTACATCATCACTGACTTTTACTGTAGAGGGACTTTAAACTTTTTAATAATATGCATACTATAATTCACATTTTGTTGCCTCTCTCTCTCTCTCTGTGTGTGTGTGTGTGTGTGTGTGTGTGTGTGCGCGCGCGAAAAGGCAGGAACTCAACCGGGCAACTATTTGAACGTTTTGCCCATTTCTTATCTGTTCCTGGCACACCATGACTACTGAAAAAGTGGAATTTGAAAAAGAAAAACAGATCTTTCAATATATGAACCACGCTACAAACGTGCCTTTCACTGCCATGCATCAAGACATGCATTTCCTGGCCAGCTTGTTTGATTAGTGGGGTAGACTGTGATAAGGGTGTCTAATTACTGTGATATACCTGAATTTAAGCTGATCAGTCTGAAAAGCTTAATGCAAAATTTATACTACAATTTATTTCACTGAACTGAAAAGGCTAGACATTTTCCATTGCATTACCTCTAACCATTATTTACAATTTAATCCAAATATCAACACTGATTAAGTAACATTAGGTTCGCAATTACAACCTATTCTTAATAACGATTTTCCATGCTGCAATGCCTAATTTTTTTCTGTTTTATTGACAAATTCCATGTGGCAATCAAAGGACAAGAAATTCCAAAACTTTTCTAAAGAAATAAAGAAACATGAACTAACCTAATAACATGAACTTCTGTAACCGGCCCATTCTGTCCCCATATGTTTCTCACTCACCTACATCTTGATACTCTATGGACCCATTCAATACTGATTGGTAAATCAATTGTACTTTAAATGAATAATTAATTATTCAGGGCTGATATGAACTAATAGAGTAAAAAAATCCAATAGATACAGAACCTATACTTAGCACTTCCTCAATCTCTTAATGCGTCATCAATATTATAGACCAGGATACATTTAATACCTTTTTTTTTTGCTGATATGAAACCTATAAGGTATGACACTAGTGACCTCACACACATTTATACAGCAAAAATGATTACAGAATTAATCAGGGCTTCAAGCAGAGACAAATATATAGTGTCTGAGATTTATTTTCTAATAGTTCCTAATTCCTTATTGTTTTTCAACTGGCAAAACGAATGTGAAAAAAACCTTCTTGTCATCTAATACAAACATTCCAAAGTCAAGCAAAGCATATCATCTCATAATCACCAACCAAAAGAAATCCAGTTAAGTTAACACACGCAACTGTAAAAATTAAAAAACAATCTGGCGGAGAATCTATTCAAATTAACTCTTTTTTCACTGCCAACCAACATTCCTGAGTGTGACAACACACTGCAGTTTCAAAGGCAACAATAGCACGAATAACACGATGACAATCTATTCCCACATGGCATTTGTTACAGGTGAGTCGTTCCCATTGTCAAGGAGACCTGCGGGTTCCCCAATGATCAGAGTCAGCGGTTGTGTTGATTTATTCATGAAGATGTCAGATGGTATAAAACTCATCAAATACAGCTCTACGTGGCTGGTTGCCAGCCAGTTTTTCATATTACAGTAATCAAATCAATAAATAGTTTTCTGAAAGCATATGGTGACTTTCCCCTCGATTTTTCACTGGGCCATTTCTTTGCTTCTGTTGTTTCATCATAGATAATAAAGAATTTTGTGAAAAATTTTGTAAAAAAAAAAAGTCAGCTGGGGTTGGAAGAGCCAATATGCCTCACAAACATTGTAAAAAAGACTTCCTAAAATCAGAAAACTGAAGATCTATTCAAAGAAATTTCTTAACCCTCTTTATTTCTTGAATTTTTCCGCATGTATACCTAAATACCAAAACTTCTTTCTTTCTTAGAAGAAATTGTTCTCTTACTACAGGACTGGTATTTAAATCTCAGGACCATTTCATTGCAATTTATATAATTAGTGAAAATAATAAACAATGACCAAAAAATATGTCACAATCCATGAAAATAATACATTGATTACACTTGTCAGATATGCAGATAAATAATTACTTATTTATAGTATATGCCATAGCATATTTTCTTCATTTATAATTCAGATGATTGACAATAATAATTAACATACAGCTAGAAACAATGGCTCATACTGCCTTTCAGCTTTCAGTATGATGTTGACATTTCAAGTTTTGTCTCTCAGTCTCCATAGGTTGCATTAAAAGTAAATAGATCTACACATTGAAAGTAAATACCACACTAGTCTAGATTATCTTCTTACAATGGGAACAACTTTATGGTAAATATGACTCCAATATTTTTATTTGGGGAAAAAATGATCAATATCTCAGATATATAATTTTGGAATCATTAAAAAATATTTCTGTACATACAGCATTTGTGGTGCTTTAACTATATACTACATAAAACCATAGAAGTACTTCTATGATAGAGCTCTATAGTAAAATAGAACTAAAAGATAGCCTGCTTTTCAATTTTGTTGCTACCGCTCAATAGGAATGTTGTCATTTAAGGAATGTATGAAAAATATGTGTAATAAAAAATAAATAATAAAATTCACAATTTTCCCCATTGAAAAGATAGAGATATTACCATAAAATTTAACAGCCCTACAAACCCAGCAGCCACTCGCAAGAAGCCATATTCCTACCACTAAGTAAACATTGAGGTGTACACAAGCACACATCAAAAGATAGCCTTATTTTTTCAGCACATAAATTCAAACAAAATCAAGATTAAAAAGCTCCCTATGTTTGTATAGTGAAGATCATAAAGCTCTTCTATAAGCATGTTTGGCACATTGATACCCAAGTTAGGCATAAATATCGTCATAAAAATTCTTTTAATGTTCTCTTCCACTAGCAATGTTTATCTTTAACACGTTTTTCATCCCCCAGTATATATCTGGTGCTGCTTGTTTCAGTTTTATATGTAATTCAAATATTCTACTTCAGTTAGAATGTTCTGCATTGATCAACTGCATTTGATTAAAATCCAAAGCTTTCTATTAGGGACCGTTAGCAGTGACTTTTGCTGACCTAGCTAATAACTCCATGGGGACTCTTGCTGAATGCAATCAATTTAACAGATTAACCCACCTCTTGTTTCCAACATACCTGTATAATCACCAGCTTTTCTACTCAATACCAGGAGATGTGTTAGTCTGTTAATCTGATTGCATTCAGCAAGAGTCCCCATACAGTTAATGGGCATTAGCTAGGTCAACACAATTCATTGTGAATGGTCCCTTAGAGTACTAAAACATGTATATATCAAAACTTGTATAGCTCTCTCCGATAGACCAACCACAAATACTTTGGATTTAGGCCATAGTGTACTAGAACATACTTTTACTATAATAGCCTGGCCAGGCTTGAAGTGGGGCAACCACATGTAATAAATAGGCCTCTTCTGCCATTGTGTTTGCTCAGTGCTAAGATAAGAGACGGATATGACTGGAGAGCCTCAGCTGTGATGCGCTTTTGTATACGATTGCCAGCCTGAGCAGCTAACACTCCTCTTCTTTGTATATCACTGGGATACTTAAACAGCATGTCACCACATGGATTTGAGTGTAATGTATGTAAAAGTGCTCTTGAAAGGCATGAGAGGCCTGAGTTACTCTGTGAGACCAAAAAATGCAGCCCTGCCAAACTGACAATACAGAACTTAAAACATGTAGATCTACTGTCTATCATCTTACTAACAATAGAATAACTCCTAAAACAGTGGGAGTCGGTTCTAAATAAAACGTAATATAAATGCAAACAATTGGCAACTCTGCCTTATGAGATAACAGTACTAAATGTTCAATGTGGAGTCTTGCTACACCCCTCCCCTCCTCTCTCATTTTCACTGAAATGCACATTTTTCAGCATCATGATTTTGGCATCAAAACCATCAGAATCATGGCATATTTACAACAAATTCTAATTCAGAAATACTTACCTTGTTTTTACATTTTAGCACCACACCATAGGCTCCTGCAAAATAAAATAAAGATTCATAAACAACAGTTCATTGGGGGAAAAAGGGAATATATACTAGTATGCTCTGGATACCTTTAAGTAGCCTAAAACTCATTATTATTTTTTTATATTTATTTATTTATTTATTTATTTATTTATTTATTTATTTATTTATTTATTTATTAGTTATACAATATCTATTTGACATGATGTAAATTATCTTATGCAAAGTACAGAAAACCTAACACTCCCCTAACTTTCATTTTTTGATATCAAAAAAAATTCTTTAAAAAATATCAGTACTAAAAATCAATATCTGAACCAAATCATTCTTTATTGGGTATATCTATAATAACCTAGACTTCCAGCTGCCTTTATTCCCTTGATTTCCTAAGTGAAATATGATGAGGCATTAGAGGCAAAACAACACCCAAGGCAGAGATTTAATTGACAGCCAGGCCTGGGAGACCTTATCTTCTTCACAACAACACCCTCTTGACATGGAACAGATAATGGTAATTTGGGACTTCAAGGTGTTTTTTTTTTTCTCTATTACTTATAAAGAGCGATGTTGTATTATGTGTGTGCTTTAAAGTGCTCAAGAGAGAGAGAGATGCAGGGGCGGATTCAGAGATATTTTCTGACAGTCTTCCATATTATCTTTGTTGATCCGTTCTTCATTTTTGACCGTCTTCCGACGGAAAAAATGGATACCCGTCAATGTAAACTTGAAAATCTGACCGTCTTCCGGAAGACCCAGAAGACGCCCTAAATCCGCCCCTGAGATGGAGAGAGAGAGTATGTGTGTTTGTGCACGTGTTTATGAACATGTATGAGTGTGTGTGTATGAGAGAGAAGGAGAATTGGATGATTGATAGACACATTATATGATTACGACAGCCATCATTCATGCCACCTGGAATTTTCCTAATTACATCTCCATTATGGCTATCAATCTTCACACCATTACTTGATCATCCAATAACCTTTGTGCATTTGAAAAAACAATCACCTAAGATAAGAAGCTCACAGTATGAAGAACACTGTAGATAAAAAAATATGAAAATCCAATAAATGAGGAAAATGCAAAAGGTACTAGTACTAAAGTACTAGTAGCCTTGGAAGTAGTTTTCTTTGAATTTATCTTTCAGAGGCAATAACATAACTATGCTTGATATAGCTAAGAAGGCGAGGGCAGCTTTTCCCACTGTAAACTAAGCTAAATATCCATTTGTAGCCAGCAGATCTAAATTAATATAGAATTAATATAAGACTTGAGGGAATGCCATTCAAGAATTGTACTGTGTCTCAGATTAATAATTAATAGAAATAGCTATCTGCTTCTGTAAGAGAAGCCATAGAAAGAAATTTCCTCTCCTCTATTAGGCAGAATGTCACAAATCAATGAAAACTGAGGCTTGCAACACAGAAGCAAAATTAAAACTTGATAAAGCAGGTAATTAATCCAATTTTCAAATTGATCCATTAAGATACCTGACATATAACAAAGGATACAAAAATGAATAAAAAAGGAAACAGATGTTGATGAAACTTGTGAAACAAACAAACAAAAAAACTTCTGAAACACAAACTACAGAGCAGTGTTTGCAGCTTATTCATAAAAGCCAGCGAACCATAATGAAACCACATTATCTTAACAAAAACTGACATAAAAAAAAATCATAAGTAGAAAACTTCATGTCAGCAAATCCATCAACTTCATTGGTAATGTGTTTGTTGAAAGGTTATCAATTATATTTCCTAAAAGTATGAAAGTCTCCCATTTCCATTATCTTTCAGCAAGTCAGTCCATCACAAAAAGTCCCTGCTAAAGCAGAGATAATCCCGTGTGAGCAAAGTGCCCTTTCTACCACATGAAGCATCATACAAATATGGTGTTAGTGATTAAATTTCGAGCTCGGTGTCCTCAGTAACCTTTAGTAGACCCCACATGGGAAGTGGTTAGACTTGCCCTTCAAGAAATCGACGGAAAATAGCTCTTTTTCAATTTTGAATGGGCACTGTAGAAAACATATAACAGCTAAAGCTCTCAAATTAAGCACATATGTGTGATATCGTGTGAAGAATAAGTTCTGTAAATTTCAATCCAAGCAGTTGAGTACATTTTGAGACAGAACGCTTTAAATGTGCAGCAAACCGTAACGCTAATCCCTTCAAGATCTCGACGAAAACCGGAAGTGCGTCATGACGTCACTCGCTTCTACTTGGAAAGCTGCTGGGTGATTTTTCGATGAGAAATATTTCGTGGCTTATACAAATGTTCGGAAAATGACCATGCAGATAAAAGAAAATTCACTAATCAAAATTGAAACTGCGTAATTACAGAGAAAAACATTGTGCATTCCTGACCTCGACTTGTCAGTGTAAACAAAGTGTACTGAACGCATCGCAAGCAAGCACGTGAATGCCGCGTTTGATACTTTGTATCAGACGCTTCGTTTTACTTGACAACACAGTGTTTACGATGGGCATGACAGGAAAAACAGTGCAAAAAACACGCACTTCCGGTTTTCATCGATTTCTTGAAGGCGTCGATTTCTTGAAGGGCGAGTCTATATCTTTAAAAATCAATCACTGTCTTTGATCAAAGCCACTTAAGGTGTGGCCATTGTTGCAGTTACAGATAACTCCTACTTTACATTCAGTGTCACCATGTTGTCATATAACTTTGTTGACGGCTAATGATGTTAATGTCATTAATGCTGTATGTGGTAGTCATGGTAATGACTGAGAATATATCTGGACAGGTCAAAGACAGTGGCACTTATTGTTACTGGGAACAATAATAGTAATATATAATATATAAATGGGAGACACTGGAGAAAAGAAAAGCATGCTGTATATGCTTGTTGTTTTGTTTTTTTTTTTGTTTTTTTTTTTCTCTTCAAGTACCATAGCCTGTGCTTGTCTTTTACAAACTTCTTCTATTAAAAAAAAATAGGAGAGGATTGGCGTTTTCAATATTTATATATAAATTCCGTGCTCTCTCTCACTTTGAACATTTACATTTTCTGTTCAAGACTTCTCATTTAGTTAAAAACTTTTAGTTGAAATATTATTTGCCGTTATCATCTTTCCCATTCATATGTCATGATAATATTCGTATTCAGTAAGTGGTAAACTAGAGCTTCAGCTGATTATATACTGATATTCACTTGTGCTGGGAAAATGGGGCTTACAATGTATGTATAGCTGATACATTAGCCCACTACCCCTTCCCTTTGCCTCATTGAGTCTACATGTGTGTCTTTTAACCCATGCCTAAAGTAAGAGGTGGCTTGGCATAAGACAGACACTAACTCCGAATCACAGGAATTTTATTGATTTTGTTGATTACACTGTTTTTATTTTTTTTTAATTCTCTTTTATCACACAATGAATTCCATGCAGCTGGGTAGCACTAACACTTGTAAATTTAGACAAATCCTTAAAATGACTTGAATTGGCTAAACAAATTAGGGGTATGGTGCTTTGACTTGTTTTAGTTAAATTTAAACCATTTGGAGAAAAAAGTGATGAAAAAGTAGTGGTTTGGTTCAGCAAAAATAAAAAATTTGCTTGCACAAGACCTGCCTCAGTGCAGAATTAAGTCTGTATTTTTTTCTGTACAACATGAATCTTGCACAACAAAAAAAAAATTATAAAACAAGTTCACAGGACTTACCTTCACCTACGACTCCTAAAACTTCGTACTTGTTCATCACATAACACTTTTCTATCCATGCATATCCATACGGTTTGGCTTTAATGCCTACACAATAAAAAACAACAGAATATTTGGGTAACAGACCTGGCGTGAATCTGAATTATTTAGCAAGAAAACGAAGTCAGACACTTTCCGTTTTTAGTTGCAAGATAAGTTTCTTGGAGTTTTAGGCAACAGAACGCATTCAAATAACAAAACAGAAAAAATAATTAAATATTAATTTTTAACGAACATATTTTTCAAGCTTAAACGGCCAATGGAAAGTGCTCACCTATAAAACTGTAAAAGCAACAAGTAACTGAAATTCTTGGTATTTACAATTTTTAGAAAATAAATTTGAATGCAATTTTGCCGTACTTCGCTCCGTAAATTCAAAATTCGTATCAAACAACCTAAATTGACGGAATTATATTTAACGGAAATTTTATGCTTACCATGCTGGCGATGTGTAGCCCATATATGACTAAGAAAGATTCATGAAGAGTTTATGAAACTCGAAATACTACTACTGCCGCCGCCATATTATTTTCCTTGCCAACCTACCCACAATGCAAATAAAATGTCACCGCCAGGAGCCGCTGCTGTGTCAATTCATCAACACAAGCCCAATAACGCAGATCTTTAAATTTTGTTCAACAGTCACATTTTTTTCTATATTTATCCGTTTCTTGGTTCCTTTGAAGAGCAAAATGACAGTTATAAGTATAAGTAAGTAATAAGTTATAAGTAGTGCTCTATATAGTCTATGATGCTACCTCATCTAAAGAGCTCAACTAATGTATGTCCATGTCTAAAGGAATGCGTTTAGAGATTTAGTGAAGAATGCACCAGTTGCGACACAATCAATGTGGGTTCAGCTAGCACAGTCAATCGGTCAATCGCCTTGTATTCAAAACGTCCGACAAAGTGATAAGTCTTTTCATCTTTACTGTTTCCCTTTCTTATTACTAAATACCATTAACTAATTTTATATACCAACTGAATATTTTTTTTATCAAAAACAGAGAAATAGTTTTACCATGATATGTCTTTCATAGAAAATACAAAAAAAATTGACAAAGGAATTTATGCCCAAAAAGTATGGTTTATGAAAAGAGCATTATCTATGCAGAGGCATTTTTATGTTTTTCTTATGATTCTTAATAAATCCAACACTGAAAAAATTTTTTTTTAAAGACGATTCATAACAAAACTGTTAATCAAGGTGCATGAGCACGTGGTAGTGATCGCTTGAAATTCTCTCAGATTACTGGGAGAGGAGATTTCATTGGTAGGAGAAAGCCTGGGTTGTAGGGGCGTGGGAAGGACGCAGTGGGTCAGAAAAATACCTATTCCTGCATTTTTGCTTCAAGGAATTGCCCAGTGAATAATGTATGCCTTATTGGGAAGGCGGTAAAAGACTAAAAACTACAATGAAAGTTCGAGATTTCTTTCATATAATGTACCTGCATAAAGAGAGATTAAACGCATATCTTAAAAATAGGATAAAAACTTACGTAAAGTGGACTTATTGCAAGAGCAAATACGCGCTCTTCTTAATAACGTGAGTCTCACAAGAGTTGACAAAAAAGGTAACGTTGACACTAGCGGATTTCCCAGTGAATGAGTGACAGCAAAGTACGTTAATGCACCAACTCACCTTTGGGTCATACGCTGGGCCCAGGTCGCCCAGTAAATTATTTCATGCGTTATTATATCTAGGCTTTTGAATTCAGAACGGTCTACAGCGATGCTCTGTTAAACAGACGATGTTTCATTTTTTTTCTTTGAGACATTTGTTATTCTTAGCGTACAAGCTAAGTGGAGGGTAAATGCTTGAGTAGACTTGCACTTGAGCTGTAAATTGCTTTTGATATGAAGGGGTTTAACCAATTCTTTTGGTCCGTTATTAGTCAATGGCTGAAGACAGACCTATTTCACGAGTAGATCTAGTGAATAGAGAAAAAATGTATATGATCTTTGGAGATGGGCTTAGTATAGCTAGTCTTAGTATAGCTTTTTGTCATTCAGAAATTTAAGTTAAAGGCTGAGGCGGTGGTAGGTGCAACTTTTTTTCTTTCTTTTTTCCTGGTAATATAACAGCAAAATTAGAAGCATAAACAAGAAATAATCTTCTTCACAAAAAAAAAATCACATCTATCACACTAATCAATTGCAACACTTCAGCTGCTTGTAGGCCTCCCTGGAAACTATATACATCTTCTATAGAATAACTACCCTGCATAGATTTAGGCTGTAATGACTCTAACTTAAGATGTGAACGACAATCGTACACAGAATTAGACTTACAAAGTAAGCGAAGTATGAAAGTTTGTGTATAACAACACATAAAAAACAAACGAAGAAAGGAAAGAAGGAACGAGCGACCGAATGAATGATCGAATTCTTGCTGCAATTTGTAAATCAATGAATGAGCAAGGGAACACTATGAGAAGGCTCTGTAAGGAATCGTCAAATGCGGAGCGAATCTGCCTGGATCTAGCTGAATATATTTCCTGGTAGGGTTAGGACTGACACGGTCAGTTAATGCCATGAATTCATCCCTTTAATATTCTCTCTCTCTCTCTCTCTCTCTCTCTCTCTCTCTCTCTCTCTCTCTCTCTCTCTCTCTCCGTGTGTGTGTGTGTGTGTGTGTGTGTGTGAAACTATTATACTCGTGCTCATTAAAATGAGTACTCAGTCCCCAAGGCATGAATTGTCAAAGTATTCAGCTATTTATTATAAATCTCATTCCACTTTCTATCCATCTAAACAGGAAAACAGGTGAACAACAACAGTTCAGGTCCTAGCTGTACAGGTGTGGCCGAGCCCCGTATTCCTGTGCTTCATTCGTCCCAGAATATGGTGCACTGAAATTGTCAATTGCGCGATATTTATATTTATTCAGGTCTATTCGGTGCTATGCTTATCTGTATGTTGATTTTCCTATGTACGGACCCCTGTACAAGACTATGATAAACACGTTATCAAAACTTGAATTGTGTGGTTCGGGCCTTTTTCTATGTAACAGGTCAAACAAACAACCTTACAAATAGAATGTAGCTGTATAGAGTAAGTATTTGTCAGCAAATTAGTCAAACGATCACCTAATAGCCCTTCTTTGCATTTGATGAGTATTGAAAAATTGCGAAATTGGACAGTAGCAAAAAGAGAGATTAACTGAATAAAAATGGAATTTTAAAGCCATAGGAATTTGACAGAAATAAAGGCTATTTATGTTCATGGTCNTTTTTTTTAAAAAAAAAAAAAAAAAAGTTTTTCCCATTTTTTTAAAAAAAAAAAAAAAAAAAAAAAAAAAAAAAAAAAAAAAAAAAAAAAAAAAGCCGTGTTGCTTTGGCATGGATTGACAAAGGAATTTATGCCCAAAAAGTATGGTTTATGAAAAGAGCATTATCTATGCAAAGGCATTTTTATGTTTTTCCTATGATTCTTAATAAATCCAACACTGAAAATTTTGTTTTTTAAAGACGAATCATAACAAAACTGTTAATCAAGGTGCATGAGCACGTGCACGTGGTACCGATCGCTTGAAATTCTCTCAGGTGACTGGGGGAGGAGATTTTATTGGTAGGAGAGAGCCAAAGGGGCGTGGAAAGGACGCAGTGGGTCAGAAAAATACCTATACCTGCATTTTTGCTTCAAGGAATTGCCCAATGAAAAACGTAGCCTATGCCTTATTAGGAAGGCGGTAAAAGACTAAAAACTACAATGAAAGTTCGAGATTTCTTTCATATAATGTACCTGCATAAAAAGAGATTAAGTTTACGCATATCTTAAAAATGGGATGAAAACCTACGCAAAGTGGACTTATTGCAAGAGCAAATACGCGCTCTTCTAAATAACGTGAGTCTCACAAGAGTTGACAAAAAAGGTAACGTTGACACTAGCGGATTTCCCAGTGAATGAGCGACAGCAAAGTACGTTAATGCACCAACTCACCTTTGGGTCATACGCTGGGGCCAGGTCGCCCAGTAAATTATTTCATGCGTTATTATATCTAGGCTTTTGAATTCAGAACGGTCTACAGCGATGCTCTGTTAAACAGACGATGTTTCATTTTTTTCTTTGAGACATTTGTTATTCTTAGCGTACAAGCTAAGTGGAGGGTAAATGCTTGAGTAGACTTGCACTTGAGTTGTAAATTGCTTTTGATATGAAGGGGTTTAACCAATTCTTTTGGTCCGTTTCTAGCCGATGGCTGAAGACAGACCTACATAACGCGTAAATCTAGAGAACAGAGAAAAATGTATGTGATTTTAAAACATATACACATCAAATGGAATTTTTACACGCGGCATCTTTGGAAATGGGTAGACTTAGTATAGCTAGTATTTTTGCCATTCAGACATTTAAGTGGTAGGTGCAGCTTCTTTTTTCTTTCTTTTTTTTCATGGAAACACGACAGTAAGAAATACTCTTCTTCACCAACACACACAAAAAAAATCAGATCAATCACACCAATCAATTGCAACACTTCAACTGCTTGTAGGCACCTCTGAAAACTGTATACGTTCTCTATTGAATAAGTAGCCTGTATAGATTTAGGCTTTATTGACTCTAACTTACGATGTGAACGAAAGTCGTACACAGAATTAGACTTACAAAATAAGCAAAGTATGAAAGTTTGTGTGTAACAACACATAACAACAAATGAAGGAAGGAAAGAAGGAACAAGCGACGGAATGAATGACTGAATTCGTGCTGCAATGTTTAGATCAAAGAATGAGCAAGTGAATATGTGTTACAAGGTTCTGTTAGGAAATGTTAAATAGGGGAGCGCATCTGCCTGGATCTAACTGAATATATTTTCCTGGTAGGGGTAGGACTGACACGGTCAGTTAATGCCTTGAATTCACCCCTTTATTATTCTGTGTGTGTGTGTGTGTGTGTGTGTGTGTGTGTGAGTGTGTGTGTGAAACTATTATACTCGCGCTCATTAAAATGAGTACTCAGTCGCCAAGGCATGAATTGTCAAAGTATTCAGATATTTATTATAAATCGCATTCCACTTTCTATCCATCTAAACAGGAAAACAGGTGAACAACAACAGTTCAGGTCCTAGCTGTACAGGTGTGGCCGAGCCCCGTATTCCTGTGCTTCATTCGTCCCAGAATATGGTGCACTGAAATTGTCAATTGCGCGATATTTATATTTATTCAGGTCTATTCGGTGCTATGCTTATCTGTATGTTGATTTTCCTATGTACGGACCCCAGTACAAGACTATGATAAACACGTTATCAAAACTTGAATTGTGTGGTTCGGGCCTTTTTCTATGTAACAGGTCAAAGAAACAACCTTACAAATAGAATGTAGCTGTATAGAGTAAGTATTTGTCAGCAAATTAGTCAAACGATCACCTAATAGCCCTTCTTTGCATTTGATGAGTATTGAAAAATTGCAAAATTGGACAGTAGCAAAACGAGAGATTAACTGAATAAAAATGGCGTTTTAAAGCCATAGGAATTTGACAGAAATAAAGGCTATTTATGTACATGGACGGTCGTGATAGTTGCCAAGTATTTTCTTACATTGTACAACAAATAAGAACATTTTGACTTAAGTGTTTTTTCCCGTCGCAAATTCCACTGGAACGCTATCCGATATTAAGCCCCAGGTAGCTTTAAGGAAGTAATACAAGAAATTTAAAACGAATAACAGAAGACTTCAAAAACCGAGTTATTTTTGTATCAACCAGTTGGTAACCGTTTCCTTTGACGCTTATAATAATAAGAATCACACTAATACATGTTTATTTATTTATCGTATATGTGACCTTCGGCAAATTATATCATATTATACGCGTTGAAGAATAACAGTAACGCAGCGCCGGGGGCAGCACCGTTGACGGGCCGAGGACAAAAGCTACCGTTGGGTGACGCAGGCAAACACGTGTGGAATGTTTAAGCTTGTGTTGCCTTGAACCTCGCATACGAGCAAGATTGATGAATTGACTTCTTGGCTGATGTCATAATTTCAATTGCTGAATGGAGTACTTTTTGAATCAGTAAAGATATCAACTAACAAACAGATTTTCAAACAGGTCTCTGAATACTGCAACTACAAACTGATGGGTAGTTGAGAAAGCGTCAATGACTTACTTTATTATGGATCTTTGCATAAAAATACGTTTTAGGCAATAAACAGATATCGATGTATGACGAAAACAACGCACTACCAATAAATTCTAATCATGATTAACTTTTGAAATTTTGTCAGAATAAGCAACTTGGATTGTTTTTTTTTTT